GTGTTAAATATGTCGATATTCGAGTATTATTGTTTCGACCTTTTGGTTTGAGCATAGAGAACTGTTCGAAGATATTCGAGGTACCAATGGTATTGAAATATTCGTTTATCTTTGAATAGCTCACACTTTTTTGAATAGTTTAAACATTTAAAATATTTGGTCGAAATCATCGGATTCGACTTTATTTTGTTGGTCCACCAACATAATACCCGAATAATTTGAAACACTAGCATAAAGTCGTTAATATATATGTATAATGTATACATGTATATTTGCATATAAGTATATATAACCTGTGACGAGTATGGGTTCATCTGAAGTGTTAGAAAAGGTGATGCTAACTACTTACACATATTTATTACGTGCACCAAATTATAAAATGTTGTGTTACAAAAAAAATTTCTAAAATGTTTATGAGAAGGTTATTTTCAGAACTTTATCTTCGACCCATATCACTAAAAACTATTTAGGAAATTTTAAAAATTTTATTAAAACAATTCTGCAATCGGTTGGAACTGTTCCGTTATCTTACAGGCTTAACTATAAGTTAAGCACTGATCGCATCAATTTTCAAAAAATTCGAATCTTGGCCACCATTACTTTAGATGTGCTGTAGTGTGTGAGTAGCTTATTCTAGCAATCAGTATCTGTAAATCTTATTATCATCTCCAAATCTATAACTTTCTGTTAATTCTTCTATCTTATTTTTATAGTAAACAGAACAATAAGTAGCAAATTCTTCGGAAGATCTATGATCCCTTACGCGTTGGCAACGAGTATCGGATTATCGGAGTAAATGGAATATAAGCTCTATGAGCTAAATCGCGACACAGACATATTTAAGCACATAAAACATCAGCGGTTTCGCTGGCTTGGTCACGTCGAGCAACTGGAAAAAGTGCTTTAGTAAGAAGGGTGTATGATTCAATACCCGCAGTTAGAAAATGCCATAGAGGACATCTATATTTTCGGTGAAAGGATTAGGTTACCAACTAAATGGCGATAGCAAGTCACTGATCGGGCTAGCTGAGGGAGGCTACCTGTCACTACCAAAGACGACTCACCTCTGTAATGGCCAACTAAGATGAAAAGAAAAGCAATGAGATAAGTGCATTACAAATTCTGCTTTCAGTATAGAAGTATGAGTTTATCATATGAGTGACTGTTTTTATTGCTAACTGGAATTATGAGATAAAAATATTCTCCAAGGGGGAGGGAAGAGGTGTGTTTGTGTTAGTGGGATTGGTTGATATGCGCTGTACTAGTAAATAATTTTTGTCGATGTTCTTTTACAGATAAATAAATTAAATTTATCAATAGTTAATAGATTGCGCTAGGGTGTGGACACGCCAGAAAACATTTTTATGGAACTCTCCCTGTATTATCCAACCGTATCACAAATTCCAAATTAAACAGCATTTGTTCACACTTTAAATTATGTTAACAACTAATCCACTGAATACCACTCTATATCTAGCTCTTTAACTATCCCCTTAACCGTTACTTATTCCTTGAGTTTTAGTTTAGACGAATTAATTTATTAAATATGAAGCCTACAATATAAACCCTGTAGTTTTCTAATAGAAAACTTATGAATGTTAAAAACAGTATGTATTTACCTTAGATGTAAGTTTTGTATACAGTGTGTACATAGTACATTAATGAAATTATACATAATACATAATATTTAAATAAAAATTGTAATTGTTAGGCTGTCTTCAATATACTCACATTAATCATTTATAAATTAGAATGTAAAATATAGATATGAATGTATGAATTCAGTTTTAGTGAATGAAATTTTAAAAAAATTTTATTTAAATAAATTAACTAATAAAAAAAACACATTATATTCCAAACAATATACAATACCGTATCTTCCATAAATAATGAAACCAAAGTAAGTCACGTATATCAACTTCAGCATTTCTGTGTGATTTTAGTAAACAATTTTCGCTGTAAATTAGTTTTGTAAAAGTTTAAAAAATTAAAAACAAACAAAATGTCATAAACTTTTAATTATGTGAGTTATTTACTACATAATTCATTTCTGAGAACAACAAACATTGTTTTGCATATAAACCCAATTGCAAATAATAGCAAATATTGCATTTTTTGGCTGGAGGAATGTTTTTCTGAATAATGAGTAGACAAAAAAATTCAATCTGTTTTTAATTGGTTATTTCAAAAAAGTAATTAACAGAATTTTTAAAGTTATGGAAGTGTTTTTATTTGAATAAATATGCAGAAAAACATAAATAGGCTTTCACTCACAGCATCGAGAATCATCTGCTCATTACAGATTTTTCTTATAATAAAATCTACCGCCGTATTGTTTAAAGTATTAGTAACATTAAAAATCAAGAATATAAACCGTATACGTCTTTGAAGTGGTTCGGTTTCTCGAGTCAACGACTCGGTTCAGACTTCTCTTCATCTAGCAAAATTTAAAAACGGGACTGATTCGGTTTGTGGTTTGTATCTGTGCAAATACAATCAGAACAGACGTATTCATCTCTATGGAATTTGTTTAGAGAAAACATATTTAGCTTAATTTATCTAAGTAAATTTAGTAAAGTGTGGCGTCAATATTATCATTTCACTGTTGCCCATAGTACGTAGTTTATAATATATTAAAAATTCCAAGTCAACTTATAATTCATTAAAATAAAATATGATGTTACACCAACTGTGTGCTGACTTATACAACTATTTACCTAAACTTTATGAGAATAGGAACGCTAACTAAGACATCACCTAACTAAAAACTCTAACTCAAACAATTACTCATTAAAATAAATTATGGATATAAAATAATTGTATGCTAATTTAAAAAATGATTGACTTAAACCTTATGAGAATTGTAAAACTAATAGCAATATTATAGTGCTATAACGCATCTTATAAAACGTGAACTAAAATGCTGCTGACATTGAATGAATTTAAAGTTGTTAAGTGCCATATTAAACAGCTATCATTTTGATTTTAGGAATATTTGTTTTCAATTCAACTATTATGAAATGAGTGTTGACATCTATGTTATCCTGCTAGTGCTTTAATATTTGACTTAATAGAGAAAAATGTTTAAGATTTTTAAAACTGTGTTCCTAAATTGTTTTACCTTACGTTACATACAGTGTTATGTAAAGTTGTATATTGCTGCCTACTTGTTTTCATATTCAGATATCATTAATTTTCAAATCACATAGAAAGATTTGTTGTTTCACTTAATAGATGTACATATCAACCCCATATTCACGGTCCTTAAAAAGCTGTTCGATTGATATCTTACAGTAAAATATTACTATTTAGCTATAGGACATCATACGTGGGCTACTAACTTAGGAGTTTTTGAGTTATGCTACCAGTACTGTTACCTCTATTAATATTTAAATGAAGATATGCATATAATAATCAAGCTCTATACAAGTATGCTAGTCATGGAAGGTAATTGAGGTAATTGTAAGAGTAGGTTACTGTCGCTTATATATTCTTTTACACGAAGGTAATACTATGACATATTGAATGGAATTGGCATTATATATAGTTATTACAGTGAATATACTCTGATATATATTGGTTTCCATTGCGATGAGCTTCTGTAATTTGTCGTCATTGTGTTATAATATTCAAGCAGATCAAGACCCGCTATTAATTAAGTTGCTGAACATCTTGTAAGTAAATAATAATATAATTCCAAAAATCGTTATTAACACATGTGGATTGTAAATCAAACATAAGCAATTTTCTTACTTATTAAAATAAGAATTCTCAAACTGCTAATAGAAGTTACCATTTATCTATAAAGTATAAATCCATAAAACTCTTATAAGGTGAAAAGCAGCGTATGGCTACGAGACAGAGTCATTAATCACAAATAATAAGTATCATCTTCTGAGTTTGAAGTATATAATATGGGTACTGATAAGTATGGTATTTTTCGCCCCTTACGGTCTTAGAAAATAAGATTTATGTGCTAAATTGAGCAATTGCTAAAGCACAACGACTTCGATGAAAAGGATAAATCCGTATACTCAACGCACTTTTTGGGTATAATGACTGAATAATGGCTGAAGTCTTATTATATTCTTAATATTATATTTTTAAAATTGTTAAGGGATTGTTAATCATATAGTGGGCAGCATTACTGAAATATATTTATCCACTGTATTTTTGATTTCTGATTTCTTGCTACCGCATAAGCGCCTATAGTTTAATCGTGACCTGAGTTTCAGGATGAACGATAGTAGAATTACTGAGCAGAATTTGCATTTTATATTGAAGAATGAAATAATATTCATAAATAATAAAATAGGTTGATTAATAAAATAGGGGCTACATGAGGCAAAATATTCCAGTGTATTGTTGGTAGAATCAAAGGATTGCTATAACGAGCGCAATTATAAAACAAGTAGCGACAAAATCCGATATATGACTACTATGATGATGGTAATGATTTTAATGATGAAAATGATATGATTTGTATATATTATGTTAGTGATATATTTTCTAAACAGTTTTCGTCATTATATTATTATATTAGTAAATTAATGTAACATAATCAGTATTACAACCAAGTAAATTTCTTGGACGCAGATATCAAAGTGCATATTTTGTACTTACCAACCATATGTAAAATTTATTAAACAGTAATATATATATATTAAAAAAAAATAAAGCCGTATGTACTGCAAATAATAAAATCTTTACAAATTTTGATTTTGTGAACATTTATTTTAAGTATATACGAATAAATTAGTTACTTCTTAATTAGTAATACTAAGGAGTTTTTATTGAGCTAATGTTTTTATAATCCTTTCATTCTGAAATTAATTTTATTAATTTTATAGCAAATAATTCACATTTAATGCTTATTCGAGTAACAACTATACTAAGTAAATATATATTTGATTAATATATATATTTTGGTATTATTATAAATATATTACAGTGCTTAAAGTTACAATACTAATACATTTAATTCAGTTGTTGCTTAAAAAACTAACGTGAGATACATTGAAATTGCATTAATTTATAATTCGGTGGAATATCTAATAGATACAACTAATTTAAATTAAATTCTTTTTTTCTTTCAACTTAATTACTGTACAATTAAATTTCGGTTGAAATTTCCAACTGAATGCGGCCCGTTTATTTGTAAACGAGACTAGTGACTTTGTAATGCTCCTGTTGTTCCTCTTGACGATGCTGCTATTGTCCCATAAAATTCACATTTAATAAATTCAAATACATAATAAAAATCAATTAAAGTGTCATTACAACACTTGCCACACCCACATAAATCACACATATTTTATATATACAAAGACCAAACACTACACACTGAAACACCCAGGGACATTTAATATTGCTGTTTGCATTCATCATATGAATACGCAATCCGACAATATAAATTAAAGAAACTCATCTTCCTGCAGCACCATCGTAACTGTTCCTCACCTTTTGTCGCTCAAAATAATGCTCTGCTGAGCAGAGGAGGCGTTGCCACTACCAGTACCATTTCCCTCTAAGCCACCCTTATCATTGCCTGTTGGTTTGTGATGCAATTGCATTGAAGGTTGTCTATAACAGCCAGACATGCCAACAGCTGTTGTATTGGCAATCGTATTGCTGGCTGTGCTGTTTTTCAAGTGTAAGGATGCACGATTATAGTTTGTAGTTGTGGTTACTGTATTTGATCGACGCATTGACATGATGCTGGTGTCCATCATGCCAGTAGCCGTGGAATGTTGACGTTTGCGTGGTTGACGTTTGACACATAAACAGCAAAGATAACAATTAAAATGCTGACGAAATACGCCGGATATAAGATAAAGTGCTACAGGATTTACGCATGAGTGTAAAAAGCTGTAATGAATATATAAAAATTAAGATATAGAAGCAAACATAGTCAACAAAAAAGTAATTAAAAAACTACTACAAATGTAACTTTTCTGTTGTGATATATTTTGTTTCGAAATCTGTTCCTAACAAATTCATCAGTACGAACTTTCTGCAAAGTACACAGGATAATAATTTTGGAAGAATTGTTTGGATTTGAGAATTAATTTATAAAGATTTTATGGAGCAAAAAATCTATTATAGAAATTCACATATACGACTATCTACAATTTGCAAATTAAATACATTTTTTTTAATTTCAATATTATAAAAGATACAAGCAGATTCTGATAAAATTACATTTACAGTAGTTTTAATTTCTTCTCTTAAATTCTGTGTCAATTATTTGAAATCGTTATTTCTTGTGTATGTCTATGGCTTTACTTACCTTGCACAAAATCCTATCATTCGTATGGCATGCCAGAATTCATCGAAGTCATCTTTAGCTGTAGGATTCAAATGAAACCATAATTCAAATAGATGGTATGGAAAGAAGCAGACAAAAAACACTGTAATGAATGCAAGCGAACAAAAAAGGATTAAAAGTTATTATTGCTTTTCCTTTGTACTTACAATAAATGATATATTGAATTATTGTTAATGATAAAAAATGTCTATTAAAGCTAATAGAGATAATTAAAGATGAACTCACAAAAGTCATGTGAGAATCTATAAAAGCCTGAAATAGTCTTTTATACTAAATTTGGAATAGAATACCTTCATATTAGGAGTGCATGAATTGTATTTAGTTTTAATTCAAATTTTATTAAAATATATTCAACCTTTTTTATGGGCACAATATAAATACTGTGATATTATCTAGTCTCACTATGATCATCTCGATTGGTCATTTAAGTTTTATAAAAAAAAATTTTATGCCTCTATAAAATTAGAGCAAGCCCCTTTATGGTTGAAAAAAATTATTGATTTGAGGTTGAGAAACAGCACCGAGTTATTTGAATTCTTAATATTATATGCTATCTGATTATATGCTATCTGATTTATATATAAGATATCTGATTTCATCAAAAAATGATTTTTTTTGATTTTGGTTTATAGTTGGTGGCACCTGTGGCAGTCTATCTTGCACAAAAACGCGAATAACTGAGGTCATGTTTTTATGATAAAACTGTGATACCACAAATTTGTGGCAGTCAAGCTATTTTAAAAGACTTTAGCTTAAGATGTTTCTATTTTAAGCAAAGAAATCGTTTAGTTGTTTTTATAAAAGCCTAATCCACACAACACATATAAAATTGAGTGTCTCTTTCATTCACTTTCAATCGGACTTGTCGGACAAAATTAGAAGCATTGAGTATTTTATTGAAATCCAACATTATAGATAGGATACTATTATACTAAACTGTATAATAGTACTACCGTACACCATACTGTACTATTATTGTATACTGCTTAATATACATAATATGTATATTATACTGTTTACTTAAATGATATATACCATACTTATTCTTATTTAGTTTATATTGTAAATCTGCATTCAACTTTTATTTTTTTTACATAATACATACATAAGGATTTGCTTCAAATTAATCTCTTGAAATTCGATAAACCTATCAAAAAATTAATATAGTTCAATTTACTACCAATACCTAAAAGATTAAGCTGTTAAGCATTACAGATTTTTCAATTAACCTAAAAAAATTGACCTCTGTTAATGTTGCTGTGCAACAAATGTGAGTAAGATTAACATTGGTAAAGCACCAAAGCCAATAGTCACAAAAGTTTGTAATTAAATGAGCCCAAATAGAAATAATAATATTAGTGACTCTTACTCCTTTAGTGACATATGGTAGTATTACACCAATTGTAATATGAATGGCTTAGTGCCAACAACATGTCTAAATGGATTTTATTAAGGGTAAAAAAAATCAGAAACTAATTGAGTAAATGTTAGTTATGCGATTGTTTTATTAATGGAATTAACTTTATTGGTAGTGAAAATAATTTGAGAAAGCTAAATATGTTTCTCAAATAAATATTATATTAAACATATAATATGAATATAGTTAATTGTTGAATATTTGCAGTATTGATACCAAACTAGTATACTAATTTGGTATATTAAACAAGTACACTTTTACATAAAAACTAATATATTTAAAATATTATTTTGAACTCTATAGGTATGGACGTGACTGAAGAGGCGCGCACCCAGTAGAGGCACCTGCAGAGACCTGCTGTGTTAGGCCGAAATCCGGTAGCGGTTTGTTATGGTTAAACAAGTAAGTAAATAATATAGTAATGGTAGATTCCTATTTATATTACTCTCAATTGGAAACTAGATGGTTAGAAAATGTACTGCATGAAAAAAGATTCTTATTTTTATATCTAAAATTATGATTATGATTTGATTATGATTTGATTGCCAAATAGTTTATATGCAGCAATGGAATATATTATATTATTTGTTTAATTACTTTACAGAAGCTGTAGGTAAGAGAGAGAGAGAGAGATTATCTTTTACAGTACATTTTATATAAATTTTATATATAATATAAACCCACTGTTGTTAAATTTTTACTTACTTTACAAAAGCTGTAAGATTGGCTTTTACAGCGTATTTTACTTGTGAATGTTATATGAAATTTAAGCTCACTTTTAAGCTTACTTTACTAAAATCTTAAACTTCATAAATCTGACTTACTATACAAATGTTTTTATAAAGACTTCTTTTATAATAAATATATAATTTAAATAATGTTTATTACAAATGATTGAAGTTTACTTCTCTAAATATCGAATTCACCATCAATTATACACCATAATTAATTTAGTACTAATATTGAGGTATTTTATATGATATAGAACTTTTTTTCATATAATTTATAATTGATAAGAGAAAACTTTGAACTTACCAACAACAAAAGCGACAACCATACGCGCCACATGGCGTCTTGCTCGTGCTTGTGAACGGCTTTGTATTCCTAACATTTCACCGGGCATCTCCCTAGCGCTCATATGTAAACGTCTAGCCATCAATATGTAAAGGGCGCCAATAATCGATAGAGGGAAAATATAATAAATAAGCGCTTTACTAATTACGGTGTATCTGAAAGTAAATAAATATTAAATACATTTTTCGACAGAATTTCACTTTAATCTAATATTATTAATAAATTAATGCGAGATAAAAATGTTGTTAACAGAGATATGTTATTGTTAAAAACAAAAAAGCCTTCGATTTATATAATTTATAAATTATTCTATTTTAAACAAAGATTAAAATATTATAAAGATTGTAAGATTATAAAGGTTATAAGATTATAGAGATGGAAGGTTATAGGGTTAAAGATTATAAGTATAGAGTTATAGTGTCTTTAACTTTTTTATGGGTGAATTTAACATTTAAAGAGAGATCTTGATGCTTCTATATCAATAACTACATAACATATATAAAAATTTCAATTTTTATTATAATAAATATAAATTTTAATTTTAATCACTGATTATAATTTTATTGCGAGAATAAACATAGATTATAAGATTATGAGGATTAAATATTATGAGATTAAAGATTATAAGTAGAGGAATATAATTTTTTAAGGTCGATATACTGTCGTTTAAATATGTTTAACTTTTTTTGTTAGTGAATTTAGTATTTAAAAAGAGATCTTGATGCTTCTATATTCACAACTACATATAGATAAGTTTATATTAATTTTAAATTTTATCACTGATTATAACTTTATTGATTATAAGATTATAAAGATTAAGCATTATAAGATTAAAGATTATAAAAACAAAAACATCATGTTTTTAAGTTTTATATATTGCTCTTGAAATATTTTTAACTTTTTTATGACTGAATTTAGTATTTAAAGAGAGACTTTTATGCTTTTACATCAAGAACTATATATATAAATAAATTTCATTTTTTACCATTTATAAAAATTTTAGTGCGACATTATTATTATTTTTATTATTTTTAAAGCTTTAACGTGAAATCGCCCAGCAACCGGTATTACGGCCAAAAGAATCCTATTGCAACCATTTCACCTTACGCAAAGCCCATTAAAGCTTTGTGAACAAAGTCCAGAACTAAACCTAAAGAAGAGCTCTTAATCTGTTATTACAGCTGAACAGTCACAAAGAATATGTCACAAAGGTATAATCTGCATTTCGAATTAGCAAATAATCGTAGTTTATGAAGGTGATATTTCAGGCCATAATGATCCTTAATGAAACCCGTTATCAGCCTTAAATCACATTTTGAGAATTTAAGAATATTTTTGTAGGAGTATTGTTTTATCAGTGCTTTACTTTGTCTTTGTTCTTTTCAGTACTCCAGCCGCATCTTATTTTCCCTCTCCGTAATAGTTTGTTTTGTACTGGTCTAGTTTAACTTACAAAAGGGTTGAGGGCCTGTGAAAGCAGTTTTTGATGCAGTTCTGGCTAGCTCATCAGTAACCCAGTAAAGGCTTACCTTATTCCGAGCTGAAAGTAACTGTAGGAGCTCTTACACTTACGGATCTGTTTCGAATTGAAAGCCCAAGAAGACAAAGCTTTAAGAGCTGGCTGTCAGAGTAAATGACTATTCTGGAGTCAGAGTTTTTTTTGATGATATTGGATCGTACGCATATGTTGATTGCGTGAATTTCAGCTTGGAAGACATTATCATAACGACTAAAATATTAATTTAGAGAACATCTCATAGATACCTTATTATGTAGTAACATATTTAAAATTTACAATAACATATTTTTATTCCTTTAAAATTATTTAAAGATGAGATTTCTGTTTCTGCTTTTCTCACTTTATAAAGTTAGTTGAGTACATTTTTTAACATAAAAAAACATTTTTAATCCTTTTGTGTATATTTCAATTTCTGAATCATTTGCTTTCAAGACTGAAAACTTAATGGCAATCCGTACACAATTTGCAGATGTGACACTTTCTTTTTGATAATGTAGTTTCGTGTCACTTTCACAAAATCAACAAAACTCAGACAGCAGCCAAAAATAAATTTCCTGTAGGATTATTTCACTCGACGACAAGGTGAACACTTGTGTATAAATTACAATAAATTTTCTGATTTGACTTTGGGTAGGACGAAATATGACAGGAAGCTGTAATTTATTATTTTCCAGTTAGACAGAATTTAAATCAAAATGCATTAAAGTCTGCTATATTTAAACTTATTTAATGAGAAAATAATTATTTAACTGACAATGTTGTTATTTTTAGTTGCTGTGTTAAAATCTATAACATAATTCTAGATATGTAAATTATGAGTTAAGTGTAGGCAAAATCTGTTGCAGTTGTGCTGTTATGTTAATTAATTATGTTATGCTATGTTATGTTAGTGTTAATGTTAATTAGTTACTGTTTAAACGATATACAAAGATGTTATTAACTTTATTGTGTTGGTGGGGATTAAGTAAGTTAAGTAGAAATTGCACATTAACCAATTTTTTGCACGATACATATTTTAAATAGTAAAAATTAATTACATTAAAATTTTAATGTAATTAATTATATTTTTTTTTTATTTAACAAACTTTTTTAAACAATATAATATATAATATATGAGGAGTGTTCGAAAAGGATACCAAAAATGAAGTGATAAACAATAATCCAGTCCAAGTGTAGATAGGAGTTATAAAGAAACCAGTTAATATAGAGTAAAAGTGCTTAAGTGCACTGATTCAGCTAGCCTCAACATAACAAATATATAAAAAGATCGATATGTAATAAGTGTTCTCTTTAGATGCATGTTGTATATCAGATTAACAGTTTCGAAATATACTAAGTTCGGAAATAAATTCTGTGCGGGGAATATAGCAGTTTAACATTTAATGAAAGTTATTTTTTTAATATTGCAATAATTTGTTAACAAATCTTTATAATTAAAATTTGAAATAAAATTTTTATAAAAAGATTGTCTAATGTTATAGCATTGACAGACGGGAGCTATATTATCATTAATATCATTAATATAATTTATTTGCTCATTTAGCAGTTTTAAATGATCATTTATGGTTTCTTAATGATAATTTATACCGCCTGTCAGTGTATTTTAAAATGATCATTTAAGGTTGCTTAATGATAACTTAGTGCGCTCGTCTGTCAATGCTATTATAATAAAATATATGAATATAAAAGTTTAATTGGCATTTATAATTTGCACCCAAATATACCTTGAATATGTATCCAAATTCGTACGATTTTTGCCAAATGGTGAACAAACATATATTGTGAGATTACGCTTATCGTTTATGTCAATGTCCAGTACATCCGACACAACAAGTGATGGTGTGGCTAACAAAATAGCCACGAGCCAAATCATAACAGCAGTAAAAACTGTAAGTGGTTTAGTCTGTAAGTAAGAATAATAAAAACAAAAAATATTTTTAAACACGCGCAAATATTAAAAATGTAAAAACATGAAGCATTTATTAAGACTCTGTAAAATTTTTATTGTAATTTTATGTGGTGTAGATAAAAATAATATTGTGATAAAAGACTCACCTGCAGTTTACGTAGCGGATTTACAATGGCGCAGTAACGTTCACCTGACAGTGCTGTCAAAGTAAAAACTGACACTCCTATTGATATATCCTTGAATGACTCAGTAAGGCGGCATACAACGGCACCAAATGGCCAACTTTCTTGCGTGTACACAATTGAGGCCACAGGAACACAAACAATGATAACCAAGAGATCAGCGAATGCCAATGAGAGTATATAACTGCAAGGAGGAAATTGTTGTGCCATTATTTTAATATAAAATAACTACGATGGCGTATGAGTGATTTTATGTTAAATATATAAAAAATTTATGTAAATAAAATAGGTAAGTTAGGATAATAAAAAATTTTGCTATGCCACAAAAAAAAAGACGAAATTAGCATATAATTTTTTATTAGAATATGTAAAATATATTAAACAAAATAAATATTTGGCAGAGGATGTGCTGCGTCAGCTGTTGTTTTGTATGCCAGCCAGCATTGGTTTGGTACCGGATTTTCTTGATTGTTGCTGGCATTGGAAGGAGAAAAGCTAAGTATGTTAAATAGCATGAATTACCAATAAGTTTCCCACCCACACTTATTTGTTTGTAAATTTTAGACTTAAAATTTTGTTGCCAAAATATAAGAACGCGACACACAAAAATATCTTAAAAAATTTGATGAGTTTCCTATTTTATATTTATATGGTAATATATCAGAAATAACTCAATTGTTCATTATATCTCTTGTATATTACTGTACATCCGGTAACACATGTGCACATTCTAACATTAACGGAAGTCAACGCATAAGCATAAAATAAAATGCCACTAGGATATATGAAAGTGTATTGCTTTGCCATAATGATACATAAAGGCGTATAAGTAATATACATAAAATTTTATATATATAATAAAATTATGTAGTAAATTCCTTTGTTAAGTTTTTCACGTAGTGGTTCAGAATATTTTTGTTATAATATTGTATATTATATGTGGGAAACAAATTTCTAAATAACCGCAAGGCACTGAATCTGTAGCATTCAATGGTTCATCATTACTTCATAATAAAAGTTAATGTTATTAAGTTATGGTTACTAATGATATGCTTAAGTAAATTTTTAATTAAATTATTTTTTAATTATATGCATTATTTTTCATATAGTGGATAATCCATTACATGGCACTAATTTGACAGCACTGTCATACACGTCAAAAGAACTCTCTGCCAAAGTAACGTTTGTTTAGGTCAAGGCTTGCCCATTTAAAACGTGTAACGCTTTACAACCGCTGAACGTACTAAAATTGCAGAAACTTACTATTAAAATGGTAAAGATTTTTTGTATTTTTAAAATTTATTTTTTGGGATGCGATTAATTTTTCGCGTATAAGAAAACTGTTACATCTGAAGCAATGAAAATTCACAAATAATTGTCGAGACACTATTACATTGAATCACTATAACATATTGCGTAGCATTTGTTCTGAAGAAATTATTTTGGTTTTACTTTTTTGAATATCTCTAATCCGTAATTTCTTCTAAAAATCTGCAAAACAAACTGTTAGTTTTGATCATTACCGCTACATGATAACCATGTAAAATTGGATAGACATATGAGGAAAACATATTGTTTACCCTAGTAAAAGTGTTCTGCATATACCTTTAAACGTTAATGTTTTAGTTTCGTTAAAATTTTTTAAATATATGAGACCTTCTATACAACCACAAATAATTTTGCCAAATATCAAATAGCAAAACATGCAATTTACTAATAAAATAGAAGCCCAAAAAAGTAAATATGAAATAGTTTGGAAAATAAATAAAAATATCTTTTCACGATTTTCAATTTCAATATTTTTAGAAAGAAATGGAGTCCCAATATTTGACTTTCATTAGCAGTAAAAAAAATTGTTAGATTTTATGATAAAACAAAAATGGCTTTAAATGACATATACTAAAAAAATATATGTAACTAAAGGTTAACAAAAAATTATTTCATTTTCAGTTGTTATATTTTATTTTGTACAAAACATATTTTTAAATTTCATAAAAATTTTTAACGCATATTTGTTTAAAAAAAATTTGAAAGGAAATATTTATTCATAAACAGATTTAATGGTGTTTCCAACCGAAAAAATTGATAAACTTATTTTTTTTTTGACAAAAAAATTTTTATAGTTGTCATTATTATTTAAAGTGTTAAATGATGATTTACAGCAGTAAATTTTTTTTTTGATACTAATTTATATCATTTTAAGTACTTATTCAGTGGAAAAACTATTGAGGTAGAAAGATTTATTACTGCATTTTTTTATATACATAAAATTCCTGATGAAGTTGCAAATTCTATTCACAAAAATATTGTTATCACTTAATTTATTTATTATATATCTTATTTTATTTTTTTTAATTAACTCATAAAAACTTGCATAAAGCATATTTATTTGTATGGAATAATTGTAATTAGTAAGAACTTCAAGAGCGCATACACGGTACAATCCCAAATTTTATGATACTAGCCTTAAAAAAAAATACAAAGCCTTTGTCTTGGTTCTTCTTTCCTCCTTTATTTAAAACAATTTTCTCCTAAATTAACATGGCACTGAAGATGTTTAACAAACTTTTGATACATTTTTCATACTCATTGAACGAAATCGCATTTAGTATCTGTCGGGAACTCATTTTGGTGCCTGGAATGGTATTGAAACGATTTTCTTTCATAAATGTTATAGTAATTTTGGAGTACAATAGTAATAATAACTTGCGTTGAGCTAATTTATTTATTTATAGCTAATGATCGATAACAATGATGTCTTCTTCTACAAATTCAACTTACATATGAGATGGTGTATTCAGGTGTAATAAAAATTAACTGCCCACTGTTCGATATTTCAATTAAATCTTTCGAATTTTAGCCTACAATACCTATAGAACTCCTAAATGATCGTCTGATCTTCTCCGATGAATGCGTTGTGAAAATGTTTCCTGTAATTCGAAGCATGTCTTCTTTTTACTTGTCACTTGACAAGTGACTTATGCGACACTCAAATGTTTTTTTTTTTTGAATCGTATAATCTGGAATGAATATGTTGTGAAAATTATTATTTGAGTAGAAGAACACACTCAGCACTTTATTCTTCCGAATGCATAATTTTCTTTCCACTGGACTTATGGAATAAGCCAGGTATATGATTTCATATAAATCAAATCACACATTTTGCAAGTATACTAGGGTATGGTTTGTGGAGGAAAACTTTAAATGTTCTACTCATTCCAATATCTTGTTAGTCGAATTACTGCTTGCTCTGCTCTTTTCGGAATCTTTTAACTGTTTTATCGGTAAAGGTATGCTTAATTTATAAATAAAGTTGTATACTTTTAGTATAATTTAATTATACGAATAAATATTATATTATTCAATAAAGTACCCTACAAAATTTTAAATGGATGATTTTCAAAATTTAAATGAATAAAAAAATGCTGACCAGAAAACGCTTGATACTTTTTGTCCAGCCAAATATTCTCAAAAAATTTTGTAAATTCAAATTATGAATTTTTCATATTGCTATTTAGTTAATATATTTATTATAGAAGATTCAAATAATAAGTTTAATAAATATTTCGAATTTGCTTTTCCCTACAAATATCTTAACCTTTCTATTGTTCCGGAAAATAAACCTTAAGTTCAATTTATACTTAATATCTTTAATTTTTTTTAATGAAAACTGATACTTTGGCTTCATGAATTATTTCATTCATCTGTCTTTCTAATTTTAAGATATTAAATTTGAGCACTGAGGCGTATGAGCAATTCTAACAATCAATTTCTAAGTGGTTTCACTTGTAAAAGGCAATTTTATTAAACATAAATTAAAATGAAGTGATTTCTGTTTACAACTTCTTAAGATTGAAAAACAATTTCACAAATCAATTTCAATTAAATGTGAAACTAAGAGCACAGCAAGGAAATAAATGGGTAATTTAAGTAAATTCAATTTTCTTATATATTTGATGGCCCAATAAATCAAATTAATCGTTTAAAGTGGTTTTGTCGAAGAAATAATTTTTAATGTGTAAGTAAATAAAAATTTAACAAAGCAAAATTAGAGCTAATAAGTTAAAACGTAAAAGAACTTAATATTACTTATAAATGTAGTGAGTGTAATAGGAATTTATCAATATCCGCATATAGGAAAAGAGTCTACAGTGGTCATAAATTATGTCGATAGACTTACTCAATAAATGAAGAAAAAGATAAGATGAGCAATAAATAAATATCATAAATACTGCCAATTTAGCAATCCAATGAACGATGACTAAAAAAAGGTCGGGAAGGTTGGGAACTATTTTATAATATAAAAAACAGTTCCCATTTTCCCTTTTTATGAAAAAGTTTCAGGAATTTATTCAGAAATCTGAAAATACTCAATATTATTCTCTACAGAGTACTCTCCATTAACGGTAATGTACTTATGCTAGCGCTTGATCTAATACTTGAAATATGTTTTACAATCGGATTCTGGTATATGGCTACACAGTCTTCGAGTTTTGTATTATAATCTCCCGGCTTCCAAAATACATTATATTAAAGACTTTCTTGAGTCGGCTAAATAGAAAAAAACCACAAGGGAGGCCGAACAGTTATTGATCAAAAAGATAGAGATACCAGTGTGCAAAGGTTTGTTACCGTAATATAAAGTTAATAGGTTATTTCCACACAACAGAATTGATATTTTTTGGAAAATTGCTTCACGCTAACGTCAAATAACCCCCAAAGGATGACCTCTGTTGATTGTCTGTTCTTTTGGAAAGAATTTATGTTCCACAACACTGTAGCAATCCATGAAATCCGTGTGCATATCTTTCTTTTTCTATTGAAGTCGTTTAATGCCATTCACTCGCTTAATGCTTGGATTGCATGTCATACGAGCATTTACTAACCCATGTTTCGTCTCCAGTAATTATTAGTTTCATGAGTGTTGAGTCGGATTAGTTATTAAAATCATGTTTTCCATAATACTGACATGGTTATTTTTTGCATGAAACTCAAGCCTTTCGGCACCAGCTTTGCAGCGACATGTCTGAAGGCTTAGTCTTTTATCAAAATATCTCGAACAAATCCATAAGCTGTACCAGTTCTCCGATTGTTGTTTTCAATTGCAATAACGAATGGCTTGTAGAATTATTACGAAGACTACAGTCACAAAAATATACTCTAACCTGGTTAGTTAAATTGACCTGCTAAATTTTGTTAACAAAATTTTAGTAGTAAGTTTAGTGGTAAAGAAGATATAAAAACAAACATGTGGTATTGTTGAAACAACACGATGCGTCGAGTAAGAATATTTTGACTTGAGATTTCGTTAAAATTCGATTGAATCAACCAAATTATTTTTCTGAGTGTATAAGATCATAAGTACTGTATGGCTTAAATTAGATAAGAAGAAGGAGAAGATAGAAAAAAAATATATATTAATATATTTTTGGTTTCAGTAAACTTTTGCTGTCTGGATTGCTAGTGAGACTCCATGTTGCTGCGCTGATATTTCAAAAGAGTGGGTTTAAAGAAATGAGCTGTGCAGAAGTTAACAGAATAAGTCCTTTCTATGTGCAACACCTCAGACAAAATGATTATAATGCCTAGAAGATCGTTGTTTCAACAGTCTAATAGAGATACTGAAGCAAGACTTGCCGAATTTCCTTAACTGTATCTGAAAAACTAAATGGTCTTCAGGATTAGGACACTGCACTAAGTTATAATCAAAATAATGGTTACTCTAGTTTGCTTTTTCCATTTAATTTTGAAAGCATCACATTGGGAAAGGGAAGTCTCTGAGTGCAAATATTAATATTTCTTTAAACAACAACACTTTCAATCGAACTTAGCCTTTTTAAATATTTATGAAACTTATACCAAAGACGGTTGAAATTAAATTTTAGTATTAGTACTAGCATATTTGATTTGGTTATAGATAATATATGCAATTTTTTTTTATTTCCCATTTTTACTTTAAATAAAAAATATATTATGAATTGTGAATAACCTTCGCCATGTGTTATTCATACGGTAAATTATTTGAACTCAGTAATCTTCTTAGATGATCATCTGTAATTCTAAGTTATTCAACATAAGAAAACACAAGCACTTGCTTCTTTTCCGATGTTTATATGTCAATATTTTTTATCTAAAAACTTTTCAATCGCATTTTTTTCCTATTTCGATTTTTTAGTTTAAAATATTCATTATTATTCAGACTCAGTTAATAATATATCTTTAATATATGTGTTATTGAATTTTTTAGTTTCACCTTACAAGTTGAACCAATTTAATATTAAGCGCATTAATATTTGAAATCCTCTTTGCAGTATAAGCTCATATATCATAAGCTTTCAGTGCTTTTTTCTACTCAGAAATTGATGATTTTTCTGCTTTAAACTCGATTTTCTGCCATTCACCATATGCCAGCATATTTTCTTACCTTTCATATCCGTGTCATGCCTTTGTGTTCTGAACTCCTGAAATCTTAAGACAACTTTAAAAGTCATTTTCCTTGAAAAAGGTACGACACTTAAACGTTGCTATGAATAAAGTTTCCACGCTTATGAAGCAAATATTTATATTACATGCGATGAAGTGTCCTTATTGTCACGCGAAAAATTGTTCCCAAGCACATTTTGGGTATTAAAATTAAAAAAAAAGACGGTTATAAATTCTAAAGGAAAAAATAAACGTCTAAAAAGGCATCAGAAAACGCCGCCTTCATTAAAATTATTAGATTTTATATTTTGGTGGCATGCTTTCAGGCGCACTTAAGGACTTTTGAGGTAAATGAAGTGTTGTGGAATCCTGTTGGCGGTCGCAAGAGGTTCATTGTAAAATGTTCGCCCAAAAATTTATGTCACTAAAGTATCAGTTATGTTAAGAGCTCTAATTTAAGCTATTAGTGTTTTGTGTAGCAAATTAGAAATTAGTAGAAAAAAGAAATAAAAAGAGCGCTAATGACGAAGCCTAAAAATAAACACATTTAATGGGTTTTTATTCTTGAAAGGTTTATATCGAATATAACGAAGATGAGGGCATTTTTGATGTTCAATGGACATCACTTTTAACGGCGCGAAATATTTTGAATGATTTTTGATAAGCATTTTTTTTTTGGCGCCAATGATAAAAAATTTATAAAATATAATAGATTTGATTTGGTAGATACTTTAAAGTTGAAGTAAAGTAAATAAAATTTTTTATTTTATGATTTTTGTAAATAAATTAAATGATTTCTGAAATTACAATACACAAAAATTTAAGGAACTGATTTCAAAATTTATTTATAAGATTTGGTAAGAATTGAATCGTTTAAAGCTAGAACAACGCTTTAAAAATTACTTTAAAAATTTACTTTGTAACAACAAAAAAAATCTGTTCACGAAGTTTATAGAGCATTTTGACTATCTTACAATCAACATAATAGGCCAAGCAATTCGTATAGTTATTGACCGTATTCGCACTAATTTTTGTCTTTTCGATTTAAAATCATTAACAAAGCAAATAAATGTGTGTACCGAAGAACAGTTAAACATCGACAATATTTGGTTCCCACAAGACTGCACAACTTACAATACACCGCCATTGTGAAATCAAATTGGGACCAACTTTATTCCCAGAACTGGTCCTGTTGGATGGCCCCTCGTTACCCTATTTTGTGCGATTTGACATCTCTCTGTAACGATCACTTTTTATGGACCTATGTTAAGTCATTGGCATGATGGTTATGCCGACAAACTAACAACTCTTGAAGCATTGGAAGCCAGTGTTCTTGACACCATTTTGCTATACCTCCTTCAACACATAGTTACGTCAGCAGTTGGAGACAGAAACCACTGCCCTACTTTGACGTGTCTATCTATTTGATACTGCAACGATTACTTTTTATGGGGCTCTGTTAAGTCATTGGCATGATGGTTAATACAACTAACTAGCACCTCTTGAAGCATTGGAAGCCAGTGTTCTTGACACCATTTTGCTATACCTCCTTCAACACATAGTTACGACAGCAGTTGGAGACAGAAACCACTGACCTACCTTGACGTGTCTATCTATTTGATAGTGTACTTTTAATACTAATGCTAATTATTAGACAGTAAAAGGTAAGAAGGATTTCTTATGCTAAGTTCTCTTTTAATTTTGTTTGGTCAGATACATAGTAATTTGTTCTTTATTAATAATCCGTACTAAATCAATTAAGAGATTTCTAATGTTGATTGATCAGACAAAAAAAAAAATTGGTGATGTTATGTGATGGCTAGCTTTTTGTTAGCTTTTTAAGACATGATCATTTTAATACTTTTTAATACTTTAATTTTAATACTTTATTAAATATCATTTATAAAAATACTGAAAAAATATATATATTTTTTATTGACATACTCTCTATTCTATTAACACAAATCCTAGAATATAAACAAAATTTTAAATCTGACTTATACATATAAAATAGAACAGTTCAGTTCTACTATCAAAAATAGAATTGTAATCTTTTATATTATAAAAATAATTTTTGCTAACATATTAACCCCCTTTAGATCACCGACTTGGGAGAGCTATCATCATTCCAAATCAGTGACGTAGTTAACCTTATTGATTTTTCAGATTTGTTAACTTTTAATCACTTGGATGCTTGGAGCCGGTTCTTTTCGATGTTGCCGATACGCTGACCGCTTTGGTTTTTACACCTGCATTGGTGGCGTTCTTGTTCAGGCATATAAACACCATTTTACCTTTGGTATAACAATGGATTTTTATTTGACATCAGTAGTTTCAAGTCTGCCACACCCACACCTACTTAGATATAGACTAAAATTATATATACTATATATATAGTGTTGGTTATTTAAAAAGAGTTTATTTCTAAAAATAGTTTTAAGTTCATAATTAGTGAATGGTAAAAGTGTTAAAAATGATTCAATATAAAAAAGATTTTTATTCTCTATTTTGTTTGGAAATCCCATCCTTAATTTTCTTATAATTTTTATTGCATTAAACATGAAAGAAGAGAAGGTTTTACTGGTAAACTCATCTGTAGAGTAAATTCCTTCAAGTAAATAAACTTAATAAGAAACTGCTGTGACAATGGCAATGGCAGTTTTTATAAAACAACTTGTACCGATTGCTTTTAAGATAATTGTAATGTTGTTTATTATAATAAAAAATTTATCTTTTATTTTACTTGTACTGACATGAACCTAACACAGAGCACAACACCAGCCCTCTTGTATGTACTTACGTATTTGGAATGTTACGCATGGAACGATGTCGAAAGAAAATTATCACCAAAGTTCCATTGCCCAAAACACCAACAATAAAGATGATAGCAAATAGAGCTGTGATTATGTAAGTTTCTGCACGCTGAAAAGGCGGAATATAATCATCTGAAGGTTCGATGTTATAGGTTGGTGTTATGCTAGAGTTTAGCGTGGTGTAGTCCTCAGTAGTTGACACAGATGCGTCAATGACGTTCGCATTTGTTGCTATTGTGGCAGTAGTTGCCAGCAGCGTTTGACTAATGTCGGCTAATGTGGCAAACATTATTTTTCACAACACAACAGCAATCAACAATTGGAATGAAGACAATATATATACTTATATATATATATTTATATATATTTGTTTTATATTATTAAGTATTGTGTTGTTAATCCAACTGTCAGTTGGTTTGTTGCTGTCTGATGTTGCTTCCTTCTCGATTTTTCTCCTTTCTAATTATTTTAATTTTGTAAACTACGGAAATACATACTTCCGTGTCCGGTTTAGTGTGTTTGCTGACCCTTAAGTATCATCCATGATGTGTGTGTGTGCATATTGAGCTAATGCTGCGTTCTGTAATGAAACAAAGAAATCGAAAAAGTTTAAGAAAAGCATAAAAAATAATGTATTAAGTAAGAAATTTAAAAGAAACTCAAAGATAAAAAATAAAATTGCTTAGAATTTTAGGTTTTGTGTATTTTCTGGTCTGAAGATTTTGATTACAAATCGCATTTGATTGAATGGACAAAAGTTTTTGAAGGGTATCTGCGATGTTGTTATCTTACATCTTTGTTTGCAATTTGTTGAATTTTCGATTTGCAGTTTAACTAAATAAATACGTAATATGACTAAATTTCCAATTACTCTTAATAAATTAAAAACTGAAATCAACATTGGATTATGTCCCTGAAATTTGATCTAAAAATGATTTAAAAAATCATTTCTTAAAATTGTTGTTAAGTTAAAATTTAAATATTTTTTCAATATGTTTAATTTAAGCATTTAAAAAACAATAAAACCATTTACATGGATTAACTACTTTGCTTTCAATGTTAACGACAAGACTTAAAAGGCAGCCCTCGTATAATACTAACGAAAAAAAACATTTTATAAGCTAATGAACTTATTTTGAACAGAAATCTTTTATCATTAAATGAATCTCTGCATATAGAAGAGTAATAATACTATTTAAGTTTAAGTAAAGAATATTAATTGCTTATATTTGCTTCAAATTTTATTTTATATTTGACGAAGAAATTAAAAAACCATTCGAATGAAATTTGTCATTTCTATATAGACAATGATGAGGAAAGACAGAATTTTTTGTTCATTTGTCTTGGTCGACAGCGGGTTGTGCTTCATTTAGTATCATCTTTCCAGGTAATTTTGTGTCTTCAGCAATATTTCATTTTGCAATGATTTTATTTTCTTTCTTTTGTCTTATATTTATAATTAAATCGGAAATCAATGTTAAGTGATCTTCATTGTTTAGCATGTGCATTAGAACGAATGACATACTCAGGTCAATTATTGCTTAGTCTGATGAAGTGATAAACAATAATCCAGTCAAGGCGTAAAGAGAGGTTTTGGAAAATACCTCGAGTTAAGAAAGAGTAAATGTCCTCAAGTGCACTGGCTCAAATAGCTTTAACATAATGTTGTGCAAAAATATATACTATATTCCATTTATCCAGTGGTTGACAAATATAATATAATATAGTATTTATTAGTTCTTTAATTTCTATTTATTTTAAATTGAAGCAAATTGGCGAATGTTTTGACGTTAGTTTGAGTACACTTATGAAAGTATACCAAAGTGTCAATTTAGACCGGTACATAGGTTTATTTTCTTCGAAACGTTTAGTACATTCATTGAGCAATGTAATGTATTAAGTCGTTAGTATATTTGCGTTGGTAGTTTACATGACGGGTTATCAGATTCCATGTCCTCATCTTAATAATAAGAGTGTATTAGAGGAAACAAAATTTCAAGTCTGTGAGAAGCGACCTTTATATACATATACGAGAGGATTATTGGCCTGGGAGTTCCTATGCCCAACTTATGCTACAACATTCTTTATAGCTGATAGACTTATTTTCATTCTAAAGGTGTTACGTTTTCTGTTCAGTTAATGTCGGTTAGAAGCACAAAATAGTAGCAGCTACTACTAATAGCTACTTTTCTATATTTAGTTTTTTGTAAAATCTTTTGTCCTCTAGAAGTTTGTTACGATTACCGCAGTTGAATGAATCATAAGCTGTATGAGCTTTATCATGATATTGATATAATTTTACAAATTAATATCCAACAGCTTCGCTGGCTTGGTCATGTCGTGAGAATGGATGAAGATGCTCCTGCGGAAAAGGTATTTGAAACGTTAGTGGAGTAATCAAATTGAAGGAGCATTAAGGCACGAAATTGTAGGTATCACGCATGTAGCAGAGATGCCTGGAGAGCCATGCTGCATCAGGCCGAAACCCGGTAACGGATTGTTATGAACAATATAAGTAAGTAAGTAAATATATTTATTTTTTTGACGTCTACATTATATCTAGACTTATTCCCAAATTCTTCACTTAGTTGCTCGAATATACTGTCTTTTGGTTAAATTTTTTAAATTTAAATTAAATTTTTACAGATGACTCATCTGCAGTTGGGTTTATTGATATAAAGTGCCATATTTATAGCTACCACTCCATTATTCAACCATGGGTTACGTTGCGTTTCCGCAGGATCTTTTTGTGAATATGATATTGCGATGTCGTCATTAAATGTTGCTGTTAATATGTGTTTCGATGCTGCTATGTTACGTATATACAGTCAATAGAGGAGTATCAATATAACATTAGGTATGAATTAATTATAAATATTTTTATAATTAAAAATGAAAAGTTTTCGCAATTTTTTTTTAAACAATAATACTGAAACAAGTGAGCTTCTAGCTCTGTTAATTTAAAAAAAATTTTTTTTGCCGAAATTTTCATATTAGTTTAAACATTTTTACCTGAACATCCAGTTAAAATAATGTTATAGTTTCTTATTTTTCCTTTTTATATTTTAAATAAGAAATTTTAAAGATTAATTGTGATTTTATACTTGAGTTATAAATACTTAAATTTATATATATGAAATGGATTTAAATATTGTAGTTATTAGGTCCACATATATAAAAAATTTGCTTTTTAGTCTATATAAAAAATATTTAAATTTGTTAAAAAAGATTTTAATCATTCAATAAACTATTTTACATATATTTAACATATATCTCTAAATCAATTTGTTATACAACTATTCTGATTATTATTAGAAACAACTATTGTTGTAAGCATTTCTTAATTAATTTTCTAGATAGAGGAAAACCAATGAAAATCTAAAACTATGCCTTTCATGAAATAAATACCATTTTATCAAAGAATTTATTTCGAAAATAAATTACTCTAAATTTTCTATTCATTCGCATTAGAAGAATTTTCTAAAATTATATAAAAATAAAACAATTTAATTCAGTTTTGTATCATTTTTGATTAAATTTCAGAGTAAAAATGTGTTTTTACAATTAAAACGCGTGCTTAGCAGCGGGCACTGCTCTCATGTCTATTGAGAGTCAGATATACATTTTCTGGTATTTGCTAGCATTTGTTTCAAAATTTTTGGCATCAGAACAGAATGTCATGTGGTGTTAATCCAATTCGGATCTGTGAAAATTTTATGAGCAAAATAAATTTATAACAAAACCGCTTTAATGCTTATTGTTTTTAAAGCAATGTGGGAAAAATTATTCAAATTGCATGTGGATAGGTTGGATTCCCGAGATAAGAATGCAGCTTTCATATATGAACATTTATGGACTTTTAATATAGTGTTTATAACTACAATTATTTTTAATTTAAACTGAATATGTTTACAAAATTTATTCTGAACATTTTCTGACCATTAAAAGGCCAGAGGCTCTTTTAATTTGTTTGAATAAATTTATATAGTTTATAGGATTTTTTGTCATAGGACATAAAATTTTTAATTATAAATTATAACACATAATTTTTTAAATTAATTTTTGAGTTAGTACACTGAATATAAGATATAATTCTTTCCTAAGTACTTCTTCACTAGTTGCAACTAATGCCTGTTATCCCAGGAAACTATGCATAAAAAAGCTTTCAGTTAATAAACTAATATGTCAAAAATGTCTAATTGAAAGAGCTTCAAACATAAACAAATTTATATCTATTTCTATGGATAGAACAACTATTTACATCTCAAAAAATTGATTATTCAAAAACTTTATTCATTTATCAACTTTTTGCTCATGGACTTGTCGACTGCACTTATGTCAATTCGTGAGGAAACACCCTTTACAGGGAAGTAAGATTGCAAGGTGTGAGGAGACACAATAATTTTTATATTTCTTTCTTAAAATTATTAATAAAAAATTATTATTTGTAGCACAAACTTGGCATTCTTTCACTAACAGGAAAGAGTATCACATCTACTACCTAATAATCTACTCTTCCTGCCAACTAATGATAGTAAATTATAAAAATGTGAAGTGAGTGTGCCTCATGCATTTCTTCTGAATAAATTATACTAAAATAATTAATTACCAAAACTATTTAAGTATATTTCAAGACAATATATTTATTATTGTTTTAAATATTTATTTTTGTAGTAAACAAACTAAATTCTTTCCATAAGCAATGGAATGTGGTACATAATTCAGTAGATAAATAAAAATACTACATAAATTTAATTTTTGAATAAAATTATTTTTGTTTTAAAATGTTTAAAATATGAATCATTTAAGTATACATATAATATACAGATACATATTCTGTTATTTGTAAAATTTAATATAACTAAAATAAAACATCTTGAATAAATAAACAAATTTCATTAAAATATGCTTTAATCAATTTATGAATTTTGTGCAACAAAAATTATTGACCTTACAAAGAACAAATGGTTTGTGTTAAAAAAAAAACACTCCAATTCTACAACTTACAATGAAATAATTTATCTATTTCTTCACTTTAATAAGTATCTGAAGAAAAAATATTACTTGCTTACTATAAAATAATTTCAAAGCAGAAAAATAAAAAGCTGTGATTTAAAAAAAGTATCTCATGTGAAAAAAACGCAAACATATGTTTGCATTTCTTTAGTTTTATTTTTGTATTTTAGTCTTATTCATATAGTATACATTCCTACATTCATATATAGTATACATGCATACTTGTGCATTTTTATAAACATTTATACTGCGATATGAACTTGTCGACTTCTT